CCCTTCGCCTGGCTATGGTGCCGCCGGACCTCAACCGGGAGGTTATGGAGGTGCACAACCGCCTTCTGGTTATGGACCGCCTGGCTAAATTCGCTCTCTATTTGCTAGTTGTCAGAAGTATTGCATTGTATCAAATGATTACCTGGGCATACTGTAAAAAGATGGCACATTATACTAACTTCAACTACTTTATTACTGATAATAAATCTTGATAGTGTCGTACACGAGATTCCCAAAATAATCGAAGTATTTCAGTTGCTAATCTCTTCTAAACATATCAGATGTGAGCATTAACAGGCTTACGCTTGACCACGAAAATCACGATCCGCAACAGAGTCCAATAAGGTTTATATTATATCCCGAACAGCATAGCTCACGAATCGAATCAGTGCCAAAGAGACGGGGTCAGACTTCAATACATTTGCTACATTCTCAGAAATAGATGCTAGATGATAGCAAAAGGAAAAACTTCTAGTTAATGCGTTGTAGCAATAACGTACAAAAGCTTGTTTAGAGGTATGTAAATTAAAATGATAAATTTAACGAGGCAAAAAAAATGACATTTTGCTCAAATCTAGGACATATTTCCCTGCCTTCTGCTTCTAAAATAAACATTATGACATCTAGCATGAGGCAGATTGAACCTTAGATCAGCAAAATTGATTAAATCCAAAATTCTCTTAATTGCTCTTTTCTACCTCTCTTTTCCTGATTTTTTTCACTGCTACTGACATCTAGGAACAACATGCTCACTTTGCACAGTCCTTACAAGTATGGAGTCGAAAAATGAAGCGCGATACGAATAGATCATTTCTTTCCGTATTCTCTATCGCTACTCAAATTAATTAGGGATAGGGAACTATTGCTATCAGAAAAGCGTTGAAGGATCGAGAGAGAAGGAGAGGGCTCGCATTAAGAGCAATACTAGAGAACTGGATGCAAAAAAAAGGTCAAAATATGAAAAGCTTTTAACAATGTAAAACGGTTTTTTTTTGAATTTACTTCATTCAAAAATTTTCTATGAATTTCAAAAAACCAGCACTTATAAAGATATCACGCCAAATTCTTGAAAATCTGCTTTAAAGCATGTTGGAATGAAGTCAGTAGGATGGCAATTATTATTATTTTGTTAGATCGTTATCTTCTACAAAACAGAAAACAAATCAGTGAATAATTTATCTCATCGTCGAATAGATTCTTCTTCATTAAAAATTGTTAAAATAATAAATGATAAATTTTTAGCTCCAAAAGAAATTCATAAAGAAAACATCAGCTCAACAATGCTTCATACAAAGAACATCACTAA